TATATAGGACAGACATATCAATAAGTCGATATATTATTATCTAATTCCTTTCTTTCAGCAACATTAGATATCTATACGTAATACGCGCTTACATATATATATATATATATATATATATATATATATATATATATAGATTTAAGAGAGTGCTCGAGTTAACGAATACAAGCAAATGCGCTCGCATACACTCGAATACGCTTTTATACCGACAAGTGCGTGTAGCTTTATATATAGAAATAGCAACGGCGGAACAGCACCGGAAGCGAAGGAGTTCCGCCCAAGCTTCGAAGGGTCAGCGCACTTTGAAAAGCAAGATCCAAGAGTGCTCGTAACGTTTCTTTAAGAGCACCCGCGTACTTCCGTCGTGTTTCTCTGTGTATTTACGATTATTATCTTTTTCAAATATATATATATATATATATATATATATATCTTTTTTTTTTCTTTCTTTCTTTTTATTTCCTAAAATTAAATTTCAAAAAACTTAAAAAAAATGTTTCGATTTATTTTACGAGTAAAGAAATATTGAGGATAAAATTAAATTCAAAAAAAAAAAAGAAGAAGAAGATCTCTAAGCATGTTGTAATTATAGAGAGAGAGAGAGGGAGGGAATTCTTTTTCAATAAAATTCCGTTTAAAATATAGAGAATTTCTTGTTTGTTTTTTCTTTTACTTTTTCTTTAATTATTTTATTGCTCGATTCGATTCGTTTAATTAATTATTATATTGATTACATTTATTTCATACTGCGTTCAATTAAATTCGATTTATTACTTCTATCGATTGACTGCGAAATGTATTAGTATCGATTAGATATACATTTATTCGATATAACGAAACGTATGTAAAAAATGATTCATAATCTTTGGATATGTCGAATGCTAAGTATACTCATTTTATATATATATATATATATATATATATATATATATATATATACATAAATAATATTATTTATTGATCGATTATTAATTATTAATATTTATCTATTAGAATTAATTGCGATATCGATCTATTGGAAAGATTAATTATAATCTATTTTATGTTTTTCTATTTAATTAGGGAAAATCTAAAAAAAAAAAAAAAATAGAAAAAAAAAGAAGAAGAAAAGAAAACGAAAAGAAAACGTACAAGGGTTTTAGGACAGTCTTCGAAAATATCGAGAATGTGTCTATGTATTTATTTCGCAAGTGCATTAAGTGAAGAAAAAAGAAAAAAAAAAAAAAAAAAAGTAAAGAAAAAAGAAAAGTTCGAAGCTCGAAAGCGTACGTTATCCCGAACGGAAGTCATGGAGGGCGTTCCCTCAGCAGCTTTTAACGTTCTCAAGTCTCCAAGAGTTAAACTAACACATACGTATCTAGAAATGCGTATAATATATTTCTACTCGGACGAAGAGAAATATATATATATATACGTATACTTTCAAAGCAATCGTTTTATAGATCGCACAATGGAGTCATTAAAATGTTCGATAAATATAAAAAATATATAGAACAGATATATATATTATATATATTTAAAATTTTTAATTTTCGACTTAACTTATATGAAATATATTAATTTCGTAAATATCTATTCGGAATTATGATTTTATCGATTTATTTTAGATATATGCATAAATATACATTTATGCACATATAATAAATTACATACATACGTAAATACATATATACATATATATATATATATATATATATATATATATATATAAATAAATGAAAAACGAATATAAAATAATTAAAATGAAAAATAGAAAAAAAATTACAAAATAATTATATATAATATCGATATTTCCAAAGATCATGAATCATTTTTATATACACTGTTTTATTATATTAAATGAATAATATCCAATCGATTCTAATTAATTTTATAGATACATATATAGATACATATATAGATACCATTAGTTATATAAATAATAAATCAAATCTAAAATATATATATATATATATATATATATATATATATATACATAGGCATAGTAACTGTTAGATTAGATGCGTTTCCCTTCGTTAGAACCGGCATGCCGAGCGCGAGCGCGTCCGCTCGCGAAACGCGTGACTTTATGAATGAAACCACCAACACGGGCTCTTACTAGCAGTAGGTAGAGAGAAAGAGATAGATAGAAAGAGAAAGAGAAAGAGAGAGAGAGAGGAAGAGAAAGAGAGAAAGAGAGTATGTGTGTGAGAGTGAGAGAAAGAGCAAGCGACCGACCTGGTGGTTTTTTTCTTTCATTTTTTTTCTTTCTCTTTCTTTTTTTTTTCTTTTCTTTACGAGCGACGCCTAATAGTAGTAGTAGTAGTAGTAGTAGTAGTAGTAGTAGTAGAGAGTAGTAGTAGTAGTAGTAGTAGTAGTAGTAGTAGTAGTAGTAGTAGTAGTAATATAGTACTCGCGTTTACTCGCTCCGTTCTGTTCTCACAAACTAAAGACGAAGATAAGAAGTAGAAGAGTAGGAGAGTAGAAGGGCGGAAGGGAGGGAGGAAGAAAAAGAATAAGAAGAAGAAGTCACGGTCAGTCAACTATTGTCCCTTTCTCTTAGGTTATTTCCTAAGACGTAGAATACTTTATGATACGGTCAATAGTTTATCGGCAGGATGCCGGGTCTTGCACATTCGAGGAAGTCTAACTACCGTGTTGAAGGGGGTGGGGCAGGGGCGGGGCTCGAGGGCGGTTAGATGGTAGTAGTAAAGGGGTTAGAGATAGCTAAGGTGAGGTGAGGTGAGGTGTGGTGAGATGAGGTGCGCGGACTGAGGGACCTACATCTCTCCGTTGTTATGGTGTTAGACATCTTATTTGCTATGAAAGAGAAAGAAAGAGATGGATAGAGATAGAGATTGGGATTGGGATTGAGTAAGAGAGAGAGAGAGAGAGAGAGAGAGAGAGAGAGAGAGAGAGAGAAAGGGAGTAGTGGTTGGTTTTAATCGTAGCGTCGATGCATCGTGCATTATTCATCGCTTAATTAGATACCTTGGAAATTTTCGTGGCGAGTTTTAACGAGAGATCATGGCGAAATGAAAAAGAAAATGAAAGAGAGATAAAGAAAGAAGAGAAGAGAAAACGTAAAGGTGGATGGAAAGAAACGAAATGAAAAAAAAGGAGGAAGTTTACTAGGATTACGAGACTTCTTCTTCTTCTTCTTCTATTTTTTCTACTTCTACTTTTACTACTTCTTCTTTTTCATTTCTATCAAGATATATATATATATATATATATATATATATATATATATATATAAGGAAAGAGAGAGAGAGAGAGAGAGAGAGAGAGAGATTGCACGATATAAAAATATCTTAAGGGTGTAATTATCTGATATTTTTTTACGAGATAACTTGTCCCCTCCCTCCCTCTCTCCCTCTCTCTCTCTCTCTCTCTCTCTCTCTCTCTTTTTCTCCTCTTTTCTTTATCTTTCATAAATTCTTTCTTTCCTTTTTTCTTTTTTTTCTTTTTCTTTTTTTCTTTCGTTCTTTTGGTTCGAATTTCAAAGATAGAAAATTATTACGTTCGAAAATTGTCTCGACGGCTTAGAAAACGATGTCGCGACGACGGGCCACGTTCGATTAAATTCTAGGCCGACTTTACCGGCGTCGTATCTTTCTCTCTCTCTCTCTCTCTCTCTCTCTCTCTCTCTCTCGATTCGTATATATCTAATTCTATTTTCTATTTTAACGCGCGACGGCGCTCGTCGTCGCCATGACGATTTTATACGTCTGCGATATTTCGAGAATAAGAAGGAGACGACGACGGTGCCAGAGTGACGCGGCTCGTTTACTTATTATGTACCAAGTCTCTTTACGTTCGATGAAACTTCTTTTTAAATCTTATTGTTTGTTGTTCGTCTAATTTTTATCATTCGAATGTAGACGTATCTTAATGCCCAATCATTTCATATATATTCTTATAATTTATTCTTTTTTCTTTTTTTTCTTTTTTTCTTTTAACATAAAATTTTCCACGAACGAATTATGAACTATAATTATATTCTATTTTTAAATTATATTTTATATGTATATATATATATATATATATATTTAAATTATATTCTATGATATTTATATACATATATATATATATTTATAGTAAAAAATAATCCTTATGGGAAAATATAAAACCATAGATCGATAATAATTTATATCTATACGGCATGGATTCATTAACGTATATTAATCATCACCATCATCATAATCATCATCATCATCATCATCATCATCATCATCATTATCATAATTATAATCATCATCATCATCATCATTACAATCGAGATTTTTAATTTCTACGTAAACGAGCTTCTTTATAATTACTTACTATCAAAGTTATCAATCTGATATTTACGAAGGGAAAAAAAAAAGAAGAAAGGAAGAAGAAGAAAACAAAGAAAAAAAGAGGAAGAAAAGGGAAAAGGAAAAAAGAAAAAAAAATAAATAAATAATCAGTAAGAATTTTATATATCGAATCGAAGATTAGTCAATGGTAGAAATCGTTTTAGATCGATGGCAATTAAAACGTTAGAAGAAGAACCGACAAAATGGCCATTGGCCATTAGAAGGGAGCGAACAATTATGTCGATGTATTCCTTTACAATATCACGTGAACATTACGCGAGTTAACATCTCCGCACGTGCGTTTCAAACTAATGTTAAAGCTTTAAGAGAATCGCGGAACAACAACAACAACAACAACAATAACAACAACAATGACAACAACAACACCCATTAAACCGATAAATAGTTATAATCGTTCGTTTATTGCGTGCGACGTAATACATAGTACTATAATAGATACATAACGGGCTACATATAAATATATGCGATAGGAGTTGACTTCAAACGGATCTATCTATTTATCTATTTATCCATCCATCTATCTATCTATCTATCTATCTATCTATCTATCTATCTATCTCTTTCTCTCTTTCCGTTCTACGTTATAGTACAATATAATCGATTCAATAATTTGTTTTCTTTCATTCGTCTTTACAATCCTTTCAGCAATTTCCATCCAGCCACTTCCCCTTCTCCTCCATCGATATCCTCAATTCCATCGCATCTTTCTCGATACGATGAAATTTTTCTCACTCGTATATAATTTAATTCATAATATTTGAACTACGATAATATTTTCCTTTTAACGATCTTGACATAATTTTCTTTTCTCTCTCTTTTTTTTCTTTTTCTTTTTCTTTTTTCTTCTTTTTTTCTTTATTACTTCGAACAATATTTCGTACATTCTTGTAATTTGATTTCAATCGACGAATTATCCATCGTATTAAAATCGTTTAAAGAAATTTAATAACTAATAACAGTACAATATATCACGCTATATGTATTTATGTATTTATGTATGCATATAATGTAATGTAATGTAATGTAATGTAATGTAATGTAATGTAATGTAATGTAATTTAATGTATGTATGTATGTATGTATGTATGTATGTATGTATGTTAAGCTCACGCTCACATACGCTAGGACATAAAAACATCTGTTTCGCTAGAACACGATTCCTATTTCATAATTCATGAGATTTCGAATCGGCATATCGTTTTAGTATAGACGAAATTCTCAGCTCAACTCTCTCGGCATTGACTTTACGCAAATCACCGTATTTCATTGACCCACACGATTCGTGACTATCTTTTTAAGAAGAACTCGTTCGCGTTCCTCCTTTTTCTTCCTATCGTACGTAAGTAAGTAAGTAAACAAGTAAATAAGAAAATGGATAAGTTAGTAAATGAGTAACTTACAATTCAATAATTTCTCATGACGATTTAAGATCAATCGAAAAGAGAAAATAGAGAATTGTACTTTGTTGGACGATTCAATTTTATCATCCTATTTTTCTATTCTATCTCTCTCTCTCTCTTTCTTTTTTCCCCCCTCCTTCTCCTCCCACTTCTCGTCCCTCCCCTCCTTACTTCCCTCCATCCCATTCTATGTTCGATCTCCTCGTAAAAATGTTCTGTCACATTTTTAAAAAGAGAAATCGAGATTGTGATATGAGTTGGACGTAAGGGGCGCGGCGGGGGGGATGGGGGGGAAAGGAAAAGGAGGAGGAAGTAAGCAAAAGAAAAAAAAAGGAAAAGTGAAGTCGATGAAAAATTTCCCTTGTGTTTCTTTTCATTTTTTTTTCTTTTTTTTTTTTTTTTCTTTTTTTTTTTTTAATATTTCCTTTAATTTCTATTTTGTTCATATATACATATCCCTACATATACACGCATATATGTACATACACATATAGATGGATGGATAGATACACACATACACACACACACACACACACACACACACACACACACACACACACATATATACATATAATATATATATAATAATGATTGTTGGCGAGAGAACGGTGGCGCGCAAGGCTATAGAGACGACAAACAGCGCACGCACAGCCATTTTCTAAAAAGAGAGAGAGAGAGAGAGAGAGAGTGAGAGAGTGAGAGAGAGGGGGAAAGAGATAGAGAAAGAGAAGTGGAGACGGTAAAAGAAGTACGCAGAGTTGTGGATAGGGCGGCGCTGCTATCGCGTTGCTTCCCCTTGCGGAAAAACTCCAAGAGGATATTTCGTAGTTCGCGGTGGATTCTCGTGTCGGTAGATGGGAAGCGCGTGTGCTCTCGCGTTCGTTGCTTCGTGTTACGTCAGAGTGAGTGCCATCGTTCTTTCTCTCTCTCTCTCTCTCTCTCTCTCTCTCTCTCTCCCTCTATATATATATATATATATATATATATATATATATATCTTTCTCTCTCTTTTTATTTCTATATATATATATATATATATGTCCATCTCAATTTTACTTCGTATTATTTTTCGCCATTTTTTTTTCGAAATTTTTTGCCACTTTTTATATTTCTTTTTCTGTTTTTTTTTCTTTTCTTTTTTTTTAAAATTTTTTTTCCCCTCTTTTCATTTTCTTTTTGTTTTCCTTTTTTTCAATTCTCTTTTTAATTCTTTGTTTTGTTCTTTCGTCTCTTTTTTTTCTTTTTTTTTCATCGTTCGATCCTCCTCCTTTCGAATGGAAAAAAATTTTCTCGACGAATTCGTTGCCCCGGCATCGACATCGATATCGATATAGACATAGACATAGACGATGACGACGAAACATCGAAGAACGATATCGACTCGACGTGTCATCCACGAGAATCTATGTTCTCTCTCTCTCTCTCTCTCTCTCTCTCTCTCTCTCTCTCTTTCTCTTTCATTCGTTGATTTTTCTTTTTCTTTTTTCTTTTTTCTTTTTTTTTCTTTTCTTGTTCGTCATTACATTTCTCACGCGTCACGTGACACTTCTACGATATAAATATACTTACATATACGACCTTTGAACCCCTGCACCCATCACTCCCCTTTAACATGTTAAACACATTCTATTGCGTTAAGATCGCTATTTATTTTATTTATTTTCGAATTTCTGTTTCACCCTTCACTATTTCCATTCTCCTTTGAATCTTTTCGATCATCAAATTTTCCTATTATTCGACGTTGTTTTTTGTAATCCTATGGATCGCGTGTTTTCTTATTTTTCTTGCTGTATTTTTCTTTTTTTTTTTTTTTCTTTTTTACTTCTCACTCCCTTCTTTTTTTTTTTTTTCTTTTTGCGTTAACGCAACAACAATAATAACAATGATAACGAGCACAATATGTATGTTAGAATTTTTTTTCAACTGGACGAAATAAAATTCGAATCACTCGATCGCCAGTATAATCCATTTTCTTTCTGTTTCGTTTTTCTTTATCCTCTTGTCGGGCAATTTCATTTTTCCTTTTTTCTTTTTCTTATTTGTTTATTTATTTGTTTATTAATTTTGTTCCATTTTCCCTCCGAAAGTATCGTCCATTTTTTATTGCTTTTTCTTTTTTTCTTTTCTTCTTTTCATATAATTTTCTTTCTTTCTTTCTTCTTATCTGTCATTTCATTTCGTTACATGAATTTTCCCGATGAACATTTTTCTCTCTCTCTCTCTCTCTCTCATTTTTCGAAAGTATCGTCCATTTTATTTATTTTCTTTCGTTATTTTCTCTTTTCTTTTTATTCTTATTCTTTTTCTTTTATCTATTTTTTCTTTTTTTTTTTTTTTTTTTTATACTTTTTCTTATCAAAATCGTCTCCGTTTTACTGTACGAATTTCCATCGACTTCTTGCTTTTTATCCGTTTCAATGATTTTTCTTCCTTATTTCCTTTTCCTTTCTTTTCCTTCTCTTTTTTCCAAATTGTCATCGAAAATATTCTCATTAGTTATTAAAGGAGGATTAAAAAATTTATCGAAATTCATTGGATTGGATAATGTCTTCGAAGGTCGACGATAATTTTAAGGGACGCGAACGCACGTGATTTATGTTGAAAAAATCATGTACCTACCTACCTACCTACCTATCTACCTAATTACTGTAGAGTTAAAAGTCGACATATGGTAGTGATGGGAATCGAGATATCGTAGAAAAACGTAAAATTATGTTTGTCTGGGGGATTAGTTGGAAGAAAGGAAAAAAAAAAGAGAAGGATAAAAGAAGTAATGGAATACTTTATATTAATAAAATAAAAAAAAAAAAAAAAAAAGAAAAAAAAAAGTAAAAAAAAAAGGAAAGAGAAATAGAAACTCGATCGCACGTAGATCGATTGGGAAAAATTTTCGTGTTCGGGTGCAAAGTCGAAATCTTGTTTGAACGGTCGAACGATCAAACGAAAGGTGGTGGGGGGGCGGGTGCAAGAGATCTTTTATTATTTTTTTACTGCATTTTTCTTTTTTAATTATTTTTTTTCTTCCTTTTTATTTCTCTCTCTCTCTCTCTCTCTCTCTCTCTCTCTCTTTCTTTTTTCTTTTTTCGATCGATCATCCGCATTCGAATGCAATTCTCTCGTGGAAATGCATACTCTTTGAGAAAGAGATAGATAAATAAATAGATAGATAGATAGATAGACAGAAAGAGAGAGAGAGAGAGAGAGAGAAGAGAGATCTTTCAATTTCACGCATGCGCGTTCGATTACGATTCACGGAAGTTTCGTTTTTTTGCATTACGCATACGTTTGAACAAGTGATTGCGCACAGAATGATAGAGTGTCTCATGTTTCTTAATCACGTTATTCATTCGTTTGTTATTCATCCTGTTTTCTGGACGAATAAGGAGACTATTATTGTTAAAATGATTCATTAGAGAGAGAGAGAGAGAGAGAGAGAGAGAGAGAGAAATGTAGACGATTAACAAGTGAAAAAAATCATTTAAAAAATTATTGAAACTCAAGCATGTATTAAAAAACGATGAACGTTTATGATTATTTTATGCGTGTATTTTATGCATTTTAGAGAGAGAAAAGAAAAGAAAAGAAAAGAAAAGAAAAGAAAAGGGAAGAAAAGAAAAAATGTCGAAGCAAAAGAAAATTTAGAATTCATTAGAATCATTCGTACGATTAGATCGGCATTAGTTAAAAATCGTTTCAATCTTTTTTTTTCCTCCTTTCTTTCCTTTTTCTTTGTTTTTTTTTTTTTCATTTTATTTTATTTTATTTTATTTTATTTTATTTTAATTTATTTCAATTTTTTATTTTTTCTTCGACGTCTTAATGAAATTTTAAAAGCACGTTGTAAGTAAATATACGAAAATTTCTTGATACGTAGAACAGCGAACAAACATATAAGCTTTAGAGCTCTGCGTATTGCGCATAAATTACATAATCGAAACACATATATACATATGTTCTCTCTCTCTCTCTCTCTCTCTCTCTCTCTCTCACGCTCTCTGTATATCTGTATCTCTCTTTATCACACGACGTAAGTCCGCCATTCACGAATAGGTTACTCTCGTGACGTTCGAATCACTTGATGTCCATGTACATTATAACAGTACGTTAACAATTTTTCAACTAAATAAATAAATAAATAAATAAATAAATAAATGAAAATATATGCAGATGGATATACGTGAAATATTATTATAAAATGTTGAGAATATTCAAGCTATTAAATAAAATCCATAAATGTTCGTGCATAAGTAAAGAGAC